GCTAAGAAGAGTGAAGACCACTCGTCTGAGTAGTGCTTCCCACCCTGTACATGCACAGGGTCACACCTGGGAGCCTGGCCACCATCCAGTGGCACTGGCATTACCTGGGCACCCGCCTCAGACCTGTGACTCAGAATCTGCACTTTTACAGGACTTCCAATCGAATCGCGTGTAAAGTTTGAGAGCATTCCCATGGTATATTAGAAAAAGTACCAGACTGGGTGGCTAGAGCCTAGGGTTCTAGATCCCATTGTGTTGGTTCCCTGAATGCCTTTGGACTCGCTGTGTGTGCTCCTCAGAGCTGTAGTTTCTTTGCTGATAGGGTGGTGGGGAGGGAGGTGATTGGAGGAAACCAGGGATGGCAAATAAGGTGCACCTTTCATTCCGACTGATCAATTGGTAATATAATTGGGGCTACATCTGGGCTCAGTACTGAGCACAGGCCGTGGCTAGTCAGCCATGTCTGTCATGGGCACTGTTAGAGCGAGAAGAGACCCAGGTGTCTTGCATTTGCCATTCTTGGTCTCGATGTTTTCTGAGGTCATTCATTCATTATATATTCTTCAGTGCCAAGTGCTGTGCTAGAATCAGAGATTTGGTGGTGAACCAGACATCATCCTTACCCTCAAGGAGCCGTTTAGTGAGGGAGACCAAAACACATACAGACAATCACAACACATAATAATCACTATGAAAGAGATACCCACAGGGTATTGTAAGAGCCTACAGAAAGGAACCTAATCCAGTCTCTGGGATCAAAGAAGACTTCTAGGGAGAAATAACAACTAAGCTGCAACCTGAAGAAAGACTTGGAATGAACCATGAGAAGGGGAATGATGTTCTAGACAGAGGGAATAGCATATGCAAAAGCTCAGAGGTAGGAGAGAGCATGGCAAGTCTAGGACAACTGTTCCTTAGGAGTGTGGAGTAGAATGCTAGATGGGAAGTGCTAAGAAATGAGTTGGAGAGGTAGCACCAGGCCAGACTAGGGATTTAAACTTATCCCAAAGTTAAGGACTGGTCTCCCTGAGTGGCACAGTTAAGCGTTCAGCTAAACAGTTATTGAAGTGTTTTAAGTAGAATGGGTGACTTGATGAGTTTTGTAGGTTAGAGATTATTTGGTCACTGATGGACAATAGAATGCACAGTAAAGGAGACAGAGAACCAGGTGGGTCAGTGCCACTCAAAGTGTGCTCTGTAGACTAGCTGCCAGTGTCCATGGGCTGTTCATTACTTGTTCTTGAGACAAGATGCTTGCACCAGAATGTAAATCAACCACATCACTATGCACTTAGTTCACACGTTAGTTCAGCTGATTTTTTTTTTTATAGCAAGACTTGCCCGACAACTGACATTCTGGCCCAAGCCCTTACCGTGCTGCAGATCAGCACATTGAGCAGCAATGGGTCAGGTGGCCATGGCAATCCAGGTGACAGAGACGGCAGCAGCCTGGCCTAGGGTTGTGGCAGTGGAGATGCGGAGGACTGGGCAGACATGAGAGAGATTTACGAAGTAAAATTGACAGGACTTGAAGATTTATAATATTTGGGGATAAAGAAGGAGGAGAAAAGAAGTATGATGCCCACATCTCTGTTGCAGCAACTGAACTTGGGCAAAGATTTCTTCCTGCTCTACTATTCCGTGATTCTAACATTCATGCTACTTGACCAAATTCCTAGAAATTCTCTCTAAGCTTTAAAATACTACAAAAGATCAGAAATAAGACCACCCTTCATTGGAGCCACCCACCAGCTCTTAGAGGTAGGGGAGGACACACACCTGAAAACAGGTTCAAGATGGTTAAGAGGATGCCTGTGTATCAACCAGCTGGGGAAGGGCCCAAGGCTGACCATCCACCCAAAGCTCCCACCCTGCACCAGTTAGCCCTGGGGAAGAAGGGGGGTCACCCTCTGTTATGGATTGAATTGTGTCCCCAAAAAATACATGTTGGAGTCCTAGCTCCTATACATGTAGATGTAACCCTATTTGGCAATAGGGTTTTCTTTATTGTGTTAATGAGGTCCTATCAGTATAGGGTGTGTCCTGAACGTCATCAATTTTGAGATATATGAAGCAGCATACACAGAGAGACAGAAAAATCACAAACGGGGGAAGATAGATGCCACGCCATGAGAAAATCGCCCAGGAACAGAGGAATACTGGAAGAGACAAGGATCTTCCCCCCGAAGCTGATAGACAGTGAGCCTTTCCCGAGAGTCGGTGCCCTCAGTTCAAACTGCTAGCTTCCTAAACTGTGAGACAGTAAATGTCTGCTTTTTAAAGCCACCCACTTGAGGTATTTCTGTTACAGCAGCACTAGGAGACTAGGACACCTCTCCCCCAGGCAGCCTGCAAACGTCAGGCCTTTGTGGTCAGCATGGGGAAATCTTTCCTCCTCAAGAAGCCACGACAGACACGATGCTGAGGAAAGAAACGGAATCCTCCGTGCTCCCCACCCTCAGGGCCTCCAGAGCCCCCCGCCACCTTCCATACCGACGACCATGATGTTGAAGTCAAAACCCGTCTTCATGGTCTTCTTGCGCATCTGTTCGATGATGGTGTCGATGCCGATGTAGCCGAGCAGGTTGGAGTTGATGCTGACAGGCTTCATGGGCACTGCTGGCTTAGGCCTGGGCTCAGGCACCAGCTCTGACATGGCTGCGTCCGTCCTGGTCTCTGGGAGCCCTGCCAAGCCAAGGCGGGAGGGGGCAGAGTCATAGGGGTGCCACCATATTTCTCTCCTGGTACAGAATCATACAGAGTCAGGGCTGGAAGGGGCCTCAGGTATCATCCAGCCCAGGTCCCCTATTTCACAGATGAAAAGACTGAGGCCTAGAGAGGAGAGGACTTGCCTAAGACCACAGAGGCAGTCCCCAGATTCTCCAGCTGCCAGGGCACTGTCAAATGACTCCACTGGCCTGCAGCGCCACATCTGTGTGTCTAACCCAGGGTTTCTCCACCTCGGCACTATTCACATTTGGAGCCGGAGGATTCTTTGTAGTGAGGGGCTGTCCCGGCCATTGTAGGATGTTTAGTAGCATCTCTGGCCTCTACTAGATGCCGGTAGCAGCCCTCAGTTGTGACAACCAAAAACGTGCCCTGGAGGGCGACACTGCCCCCGGTTGAGAACCTAAGAGATGTTTGGGATTATGTGGACCTGTGTCCTGCCTCCCCAAATAAAGGGCAAAGACATCGTTAGGATCCTGTGTCTAACGTCTGTTGACTGGCTGTGATTGACCTCAATTGCTTTGAATTTTAGAAGCAAACAGGGCTCCCTCAACAAGCTCCCTGCAGAAGTGACCATCTCTCCCAGCCTCAGTGTCCCCTCTGTATCATGGACACTGCTGCAAAGCCAGGTGTGTCAGTACCCTGAGGAGCTCCTGACACCCTCCTGGCCAGAGTTTTGAAAATCCATGGGAGGAAGAAGACTGACCTTTTGACCGAGGGGAGGGGACGAAACCCAGATGAGGGCAGTCAGTTGCCTAAGATGACACAGTGTGGGGTGGATGGTGGGGTGGCAGAAGAAAGGGAAGCCTGAGGGAACAGTCTTCCCCAGTGGAGAAAGACAAATACCCCCCTGGGACTGGCAGATCAGGTTATGCTCACACACAAGAGAAATCTGTGGGTTAGGCCACTGTCCTCCAGGGTAGGTTA